TCAAAACAAGTACTCAATATATTAATGGAAAAATCTGTATCATATTTCATCTAAAATACTTCATTAAAAAATTTGATTTTTTGTATATGAAAGACTTGTAACATTAACTAAAAGACTGCCAAATTTTTGAAGATATATACACTATATTGAGAGTTATAAGTATTAAATCTATAAATACTTTAAACAAGTACAAAAAGGTCGCATGGTTGGTCAAATTGACCGAGCTCGCATTGAGAGAGTTAATAGACTTAGTACGTATGTTTCATAAATTGGCACATGCATTCAGCAGACACACTAGTCAAAATGTAGATTTGGCACAATACTGAACCTTATGAGAGGATAGAATCCAGCCACAACAAAACTACAGTGTCACGCACAAGATTTTAGTTTTTCAATCAATGACTGGAGTACTATGAAAACAAAGATGACTCTCTTATGATTTTAATATTCTGAGTTAAAATTTTTGAATAGTTTGTTTTAGTTTTAAATCCAAGTAGGAATAGAAATTTAATTATGAATTTTCTAATTAAATTTGTGATGTACCTAGTATCAAATGAATGCTTAGATGAATTCTGAATAAATATTTCTTAAAGTTTGTCTTCCTTCCTTATAAAACTAGCAACCTAAAATTCCAGGGAAGTACATGTTTCACATCATAAACATCACACATAGCTGACCTCAAGTTCAAGTTTGGGTTTGATCCTTTCTTCCCATTGATTGACGCGTCTGGTTAGATCCGTGAGTTGCTTGAATTGAGCAGCACTTGAAAGATAGTTTTCTACATGCTTTCGAACCAGCTCTTCATAGCTCGAAACTACAGGTAGGTCATCTAGTTAAATCAAATTAGACAAGGAAAGGAGAGATGAGTTCAAAATGTACTTCACAAACACACATCTTAAAAAAATGCTTGCATACAAACACATATAAGTTTTAATATCAAATACAGGTAACATAGATACTTAAGATCTAAAATGTGTACTAAGACTTGACCGACATGAGCTGCTTTCCATCGAACCATGAAGTAAAAGTCATTCACAAAGTAAAGCTATATATATTACAAAACTATAAATATCAAAACAGGCTTGAATTTGTGACATCTACAGATCAACTGAATTAAAAAAAAAAGACATTTTCTCACTAATCTTACAAATTTTATAAAAATAAGACATAACCCAGAATACAGTTCAATCTTCACAGCATATACAAATGCAGACACAAAGAATGTGGATATTGATCAACAAATTAAGCATTAATAATGTATAAAGAAAAGTTTAACGACTACAATTTATTTGTTGTAATAGTTTGGAATTTACAAACATATATAAATAAAAACTAGTAGAAAAACGAATCGAGTTCTTTCACCAGTATATGATGTCAAGCAACCAATTAATGTTGTATAAGTCTTTTAAATTATGGAAAAAATTATAAATGTCAGCAAACACTAACTTAATCTTTTCCACACACTCAAAGGTTATCAGGAACTAGAAATTGTTTTTGGATTCAACATCTTTTAAGATTTCACGTCCCAATTCTAAGATAAATTAAGAGAAAAATTAGTTCACTAAATTAAAGTTCTTATTTGTATCTTTTGAATCTCATATCTTCAAATAGTTTATAGAATGTATGTTGAGACGTTGTATTGAAAATATATGTTCCTAGCCTTAATACTTGCTCAAACAAATAAATTAATATGAAACAAGTCCTTAAAGGCATAAAAACTTACCAACAGAACAAATTTCATCTGTTCTTTTTACTAAAGCACAACCATCTTTACCGATATCTAAAGGAAGAGGCGAGTCTCCAAGTTTGGGTAATGGTGCAGGATCATCACAATTCCAGTCTACACTTCTGTCGTCATTACCTACGAATGAACACGGATTTTGAGATACAGTTAAGACAACTATGTACATTTTGAATACAAATATATGTATATATGTTTTGTTGTTGTGTGTGTGTATAAGTTGCAATATTTAGGTGTGCCGAGAAGTTGTACAGACACACTGTCTAGTAGCTAGAGGATTACATTTCACGAGTGAACCCAAGTATTTTTCTAAACTTCTGAAACACTTTCAGTCTCTCTCAGACAACTGAAAATCCTATACCTAGGGCTTGATTTTAACGGTTGTCTGAGACGACTAAAAACTTCCTCGAACGATCAACTTAAACCCTCTGTTGTCTGATGGACAACTAGCGTCTTGGAGCAGACCCTTATTCATAACAGTCTACTTACTGTACACTTATCCATGCCCACACTACACACGTAATATTGACTCCAATCCTCGATCAAAATAATCAGCAAATTCCCTAACTACGAACACAAAAATTGGAATCCTCATAAAAAAATAGCTTTTTGGTCAATTTTTTTGTTTAAAAAATATTGCAATGTGTAAAAAATAAATTTTGGTAAAATCTACCAAAAGGGGCTGAAAACAATAGGAAAAGTTTGCTTTTGAGATTGCATAACAATGCTGTTTTACTCACTAAACATTCTGTCATGGACAAGCTGCACCTCTGTCCTGCTTTATGCATGTACATTTTATATGGAGTTCAACTGAGCATGAATGGTTAAGTGTGGTAACACAGTACAGTGTATACAGCTCAATTGGTTACATTATTGCACATTGTATTGCACAATGTTTTGTATGCAAATATATGGGCAGGAGGGAATTTGTGACAAAAACAAATACTGATAACATTAAAATTTAGTGAGATTAATTTGTAGTATAGATGCTTAAGATAATAAAACTAACATGGCTGTCTCAACTTCTTATCGATAAACCTTTGCTATGCACTAATATGATCAAATTTTCATTGTTAATCGTCACAGTTGAAACACGACCCTCTTTCGATTACTCACGTATAGACCTGTGAAGAACAACCTGGAAACCTCTGATCTTCTTGATTTACTGAGATATCACTATGTATATTTTTTTTTCCCATGTAAAATTGACATGGCCCTCCCATATCCTATGTCTTTTAGAAATATCTAACAATTGAACATGTTTATAACAAATAGAAAATTTGTTATATAGGGCAGGTGACTCTGTTTAGTAAATGTCAATAATTTGGCATGAGAGCTTGGCATGTTTAGACTGATGACCCTGCTCTGATAAGTAATGAAATTTTCTTAATCTATTTATAGGTTAATTAGAAAGCCAGATAAATTATAACAGCTTTTGGAGATTCTAATGCATATTTGAAAGCTACATGAATTATTTTTCGACAACCAACATAGTGAGAAAAAGAAAGGCTTACTAAACTATGAACCTGAGTGTAAAAAGCCTCTTGACTTTTATGTATATTTTTTACTTATCTATTTAACAAAAGTAACTGAAATGAAAAAATGAAAACTTATCAGATTAGAATAAGTAAGTGACAAAAAAAAGAAAGTTAAATCAAAACATCTCCATGAGGAATGTACAAAAGCTGCTATCCATTCTCGTGATGTAATTTACTTTGTTTACTGGAACTTTCACTAAGCTCTTGCCAGGTCATTTATTGCTTTGTTACATTAGGAAGACACTGTTCAAAGAGCAATAAACCAATAAAATTAACGAGGTAAAACTCTTAGGAGGGAGAGGCTTTTTAGAATAAATAAATTATTTGGTGGCTGAGCTGCTTTGCGCCATAAAACACCAACCAACCAACTACAAGGTAATCGTCTGTTATAATCTAAAAAATAATAATTAATTTTTGATTTTATTTCATATTTTTCAACTTTCTCTATGGATGATTTTGCTGCAGTTAGTGTTTGAGTAAAGAAAAAGATAAAATATTTTACCACACACACACACAAATTGATATTAATTTAGGAGGTTCTAGGGGATATACAAATAAAAAATGAAAACTGTAAGATAAAAAAGTAATATTTTTCATTCCCATCATGAAAATCACCTTTTACTCAGTTAAGGCTTCATAAATTTTCAATGCATTTTGTAGTAGAAATACTTCATTCAAAATCTTGATTTTTTTTAGTACAGCAGACTTGTAATGTTTACTAAAAGCCACATTGTATTAACATACACATCGTACATTCATAATTACAGTATTCAAATATTAATTCTCTAATATGGTGTTGGTCCAGTGCACTGACCCCATTCATATACACAGTTTGAAATAGCAACTATTCAAATAGTTGCACACTGAAAATCTGGACTCCTGTTAGAAACATTAAATGTTTACCTACTGTTAAGCAATCTATCTCTATGCACTATTTTATTTCATTTTCCATAAAAATTGCATGCTTCTCTATAACTTGCAATACTTTTAAAGTTTTACATGATGTAACTGGGATAAGAGTATGCTAGGAAGTGCTAAGTTCAAACTACTTAATAATAAACTCTACTCTATTAAATGACCAATAATTTAATAGCAAAAAAGCATTTTTTCAAATATTAGTCAAAATCTTTACTTACCAACAAAATTATCAATGGCTTCATCTTCATCTTCTTTATCCATGTTTTCCTTCTCTTGATCATCCGTGAACTATATGATGAACAGTTAATAAATTATGTGAAATGCTAAGAAGAAAACCAACCACAGACTCAACAATTTCTTTGAAAATCTTACACAATTACTGTAGAAAGTATCAGAACATTAAAAATCCAATAAATATTGCAATTATAATATTTTCAAGCAAAACTAGGCAACAAAACTATTTTTGTTTTATCCTGGATTCCTCCTATTATACTTTGAATGCAAAACAAATAAATTAATGGTTAATTTTCTACACCAAGAAGACTGAAAAATTCAGAAGGTAGTGGTTTATTAATTCCCAAATATAAGTATAATATAAATACTTGGATTATACCACACCAAAAAATAGACATCCTAAAAATAAAAACAAACTTTCAAAACTGTGCACAGAATACTGAACAAGTTAATGCAAACACCTCTTATCCAGAAACTCGAAGACAAACTGTAATTAAGGAATAGTTATTTAAAACCTTTTTTGTTTGCTGCAGTGAAAACTAACTCAGCTGTCCATGAACGTAGGACATTATTAACCCAATTACAAATTAGTAAGGCAATTTAAACACATTTTTTTAGTAAACTTTTCTTCACGGGTATAATTAGAGTTTGTTATTTTTCTTGGAAAGAATAAAAAAATGTATTTTTTTCTTACCAGTTTTCTTTTAGCCTTGAGTGCTTCTTTTTTTCTTTTAACTTCATTCCAGTAATGGTCATAGAAAACTGAGCTTTGTGGAATTTTCTTTGGGTTTTTGGGAAATTTGGATGCATATGGAAAATCTGAGAGAACCATCAGTGCAAAATAATATGTTACTATATGGTAAATTAAAAATGACTCAAAACCCCATAAATATGTTACAACATTATTATGTTTGAAAATCACATTACCACTAAATTATATGAACATACTTTATTTGTAGCCACATAAAATGTACATAATAATAAAAAAAATAACTCCCTTCTAAAGAAACAAATTTATGTGGACATTATTTCAATTTTTTTTTAATTTCGAGCCTTTTTTTTTTCTTCTGAGATTGACTTTTTTAAATCCCTCTCTTTTTTTATTTAGAGATGATAGCAGCAAATGAAGCTTTTGACTAGTCCTAAGTTCCAGCCATTAAAGGCTGTGATTTTTTGTTCTCTAGTGCATTCTAAACCATCTTGGGGCACTAACTATTCACATTATTTACTGTTAGGATGATCAGTAAACACCAGACTTTTGCTACTTTAATTCAGATGAATTAAATTACAAATCAGTAGTCTCATGAAATATTGAGGTAATACTTCTACAAACCAGTTTCCCCAAAGGCAAATTACTGACCAATTTTTTTTTTTATAAAGTCTTTTAAAGACATATATATGGAATATATATATTCATGCATAAACTTCTGTCTATCCTTCCAGATCTTGAAATGGCAGATAATGCATTAGATCAGTAATATACAAAGGTTAATAAAGAAAACATTATAATGTAATGATAGATAATCCATTCAAGCAGTAAAACAAAGATTGATTGCTAATTTTTTTCTTTAATTAAAAACTGCTGAACAAAATATGCTTTTAAGTTCAAAAATGTCTTAACATGTCATAAATTTAACTGAAACAAGTCGTTTTTAGAATATTTAGTAGCAAGATTCTTCACACTGTATATGTTAACCAATTAACATTTCCAATTGTATATTTATGCCAGACATCATCTCCAGCCATACATGTACACCAAGTACAGTAATGGAAAAAAATCCTTCCATGGGTGACAAATGGCTTAACACAAATGCTATAAAATGAATGTAATACTTTATGAAATCTATACATTGCTAAACATGAGATATATCAATATAACTTTTCCACTGAAAATAATTTTAGAATATTTGACCTTTAATATTATAGTAACATATCTTAATTTGTAACAAAAAGTCCTTAATTATTGAAAACAATTTTGTGAATTGCATTAAATACCTGCTCTGCCAACTTTCATCAGATCATGTGTCAGCCTCTGTTAAATTTAAGCTCCATCTAAATAATTTCACACGCACAACATTTATGACCAATGAAAGAAAAATGTCTGTTCTACGTAATTTTAAAGAGATGGGGGAAAAGTTCACATCACTGAGACAGATGGTAAAATCTTTAAAGCCTAACTACATGCTGATCCTTTTCCCGTGTCCAACACTGAACTCTAAGGAGCACATTTCTGAGGTGTTTTTCAATACCTTAAGCATCAAAAAGACATTTTGCAGCAGTCTATCAATAAGCCAAGTAAAAGAATCCTCACTAATTGATCAGTTTAACATAAACTTCAATGTAGAAAAGCAATCTTGGATCAAACTTATTAGTTCTAGCATTTTGTTTCTGACATCAATACCCCCCCCCCCCCCCACAACTTTGTGAATGGCCAGTTTGACAACGTAAATGGCAGAAATTCATCAAAGTAATGTAGAATCTGAACAACATTAGATTTGGTTTGTTTTGAATTTTGCGCAAAGCTACACGAGGGCTATTTGCACCAGCCGTCCCTAATTTAGCAGTGTAATACTAGAGGGAAGGTCATCACCACCCACTGCTAACTCTTGGGTTACTCTTTACCAACAAATAATGGGACTGACTATCACATTATAATGTGCCCACAGCTGAAAGGGCAGGCGTGTTTTCATGGGACAGGGATTCAAACCCACGATTGCCAGTCAAGCTCCCTAACCACCTGGTCATGCCAGGCCACAACATTAGAGAGAAATTTATTCTTATATTACGGTATTATACATCACAAATAATAACTGCATTAACCCTTTCTCCACAGGTACCATTTACTACGCATGACACAAGGTTTTAGTGTCTTACATTCAAAATTTTATTACACTACTTTTTG